ACTGACAAAAGTGACTTATCCCGCTTTTCACACTTACAACCGTTGCAGCATCCCAATGGTCACGTGATCAAATTTCTGATGCTCGGCAACTAACTCATATTTATGACGGTTGCACTGTCCTGGGATCATGGGATCTCCTTTTGTGACCTTCTGACAAGCAAAGTCAAGGGGGAAGCCATATTCGCCTCACAACTATGTCTCTAACTTAACAACTGCAGTGATTCACTGAACAGTTGTGACAAGAAAGACCGTTAAATGGGGCAAACCTCACTTAACAAATGTCTCACTCAGCAACAGAAACTTTGGGCTCAATTATGGTTGTAAGTCAAGGACTACCTGTATTAAAGAACCCAATGAAGATATCATGGAATTCAGTTCCACAGTAATAGAAGCAGATCACAGATCTGAACATTGTGATAGTCCAGCAGCTATAAAAACATACCATGGCAAATCCAGAGAGGAGGGCAGAGGTCCGGCTGGAAGCTTTCAACTTGGCTCGGCTCAGGTATAATTTCCTCCATGAAAGGGCCTGAACGGAGTGATGATTGGAGGTGACCAGCTCCAGATAACTACGACGGACCCAGTCCCGGTAATCCATGCCCTTGCCAGTGGGCTCAGCACAGCAGGCTGAAGGAGGAGGGTCTACGGGGACATTTAACTCGGAACTCATGATGAAAGTCAAGCTACAGAAATTTTTTAAAAATCCAACCATTAGCTACTGTTTATAAATAAAATATAAGCTAGGGTGATCAAGCACCTACACAATGATTTAGGCAAGTAGGATTAGTGTTTCTATAATTACCTGATTTACATATACTAATTTGTATATACACACATACATTCACTGATTACAACTGATTAAATAAAAGCATTTATTTAAAGAATTCCCAGTGCAACCTGCATAAGTGCACTGATTAATGCATTTTATGCAGCACAAGCATTTCAGTCACAGGAGGCAGAAAATACAAAACTAAAAACTCAAATAATATAGAAAGGAAATATAGAAAAGAGGTTGGTATGACCATTACAGGATTAAAATACTTAGGAATGGGCCTAGGCTGGCAAGGAAAAGTCAATCTGAATACCCTGAAATGGCAAGGTTTAAATCCAAATGAAAAGAAACTGCTGACAAAGTATGAAAAAAGGAGTACAATTGAATGCAACCGATGACCAATATGAGCAAAGCTGACCAATATGTAGTTTTCAAAACATTATGTGTACCATTAAAATGCTGGTGCTTTGGAAAAACCATATTCTGAAAGAAGGCACCACTGATGCCATACACGAATAGGAATTATTAAATAAACTTGACTTTTTCTGAATATAGCCATTGTTCTCAAGGCGATTTCCAGTATTGCTCTTTAACAATACTGTAACATAGTCATTGTACCCTTTTTGGAATTAAAATTAGTTAAAATGATGCAACAAAACATTGTTTACAGCTGTTTAAAGCCCTGGAAAGAAAAGTGAAATAAAAGGTGAAATTGCACAAGTTAGTTGACAGAAAATGAAATAATAGAAAAAGAGCATAAGTATATAGTAAATAGGCTAGCTGAATAGCATCCAGGTAGTCTTCGGCTTACAACAGTTCGTCTACAGTTCGAAGTTACAACGGCACTGAAAAAAAGTGGCTTATGACCATTTTTCACACTTATGACTGTTGCAGCCTCCCCATGGTCATGTGATTTACATTCAGATGTTTGACAACTGGCTCATGTTCATGATGGTTGCAATGTCCCAGGGTCATGTGATCCCCTTTTGTGACCTTCTGTCAAGCAAAGTCAATGGGGAAGCCAAATTCACTTAACACCTGTGTTATTAATTTAACAACTGCAGTGATTCACTTAACAAATGTGGCAGGAAACGTTGTGAAATGAGGCAAAACTCACAACATTTTTTTCACTCAGCAACATACATTTTGCGCTGAATTGTGGTCGTAAGTTGAGGACTACCTGTATTTACATACAAATATAAAGCACCTAGGAGAAAATTGGAAAAACAAATGGGAGACAAACATTTTTTCACTTTTCAACAGACATTTTCTTTACCTCTCTTTTTAAAACGGATTATACAACAATGCCTATTACATTCAGCAATGACTGATATAGCAAAATATACATTTTTTGCCTTGGTTCCTCTCCACGTACTTTAGCTTCTTTCCCAGAAAATAGTGCTTGTTGAAGCTGCTTGATTGCTATTTTTTTGTGTTTATGTCATTTCATACAATAGTTATTTCTTCTGTTTTCAGATTTACCTTTTGGCCTGTCTACCTCATCTAAAGAAGCATAAAAGGTAATACATTTGCAGTTTCATTGGCAACAAACAATAGTATATTGAACTAAATTGAAACAATACGCTCATAATTATTGCCTTCAACTACATTTTTCACTATTATTCGCAAAATTTGGTTTATGGATAAATCAAGTAATATACAATACATTTTGTAAAATAATAGCATAACTTCATATTTGTAAAAAGTGCTTAAAAGCAAGCATTGTAATATTTCAAGTTTTTGCACCAGAATTTCCTAAAATTTTAATTTTGTATGTGTGTGTAAGAAAAACCAAATCAATAATACAAAATGGGAGTCTGAGAAGAAAGAAAAGGATAAAAGATAAACTCTTCTTCAGAAATGAAAAGATATTTCTGGCTGAAAGAGAGAGAAAAGCAAAAGTGACAATTTAGAGCAAAATACAAATCCTGTATCTTTTATTTCGGTAGTAATCCAGCATGATAAATGATTATCTTCACTTAATTAATTAATCAAGTTCTCCATTAAGCTATAGTACCTAGTTTGTCACATCCACCTGAACTGATCTGAGATACACAGTGCCACCACATTATTGTAGAGTTTCTAAGAGGCTTGGGAAGTCGAGATGATTAACTATTGGCTCAATTTAGGCTTCACAGGAAATATGGCAAAGACAATTTTTTCAGAATTACAGGATGGGACATTCCCATCAACGGAAATTTCTGCCTCCTTCTATCTTCTGCCTGCTGGGATTTCCCCCACCCACTTGGGGCTTGGTGTTTTGGCACCTTGCCCCCATTCCCCACAGATGCGCCAAGGGGCAGGTTAGTGGAATTTTGTGATTTTAATTTGTCTGTCTCCATGAAAAGAAATCACAGTAGGAAAGGATGGGGGTCCAGCTGGTTGCTGCTCTTTGCACCCTCCAATAGGAATGAAGTCAGGAAATGGGAAGAATAGCAAAGCAGTTATGTTATGGGAGGGATGAACCCAATGGCTGTGTGGATGCATCTTTGTCTCTTAAACAACATTTTCTGCAGATAACACCAAAAGTCACTAAGAATCAGATGGTATACAAGTTTATTAAATAATAATTAGAACAGAAGAAGAGTTCTAATGCAGCAAACCAAATATGCTTCTGGGCAAGTATCCGACTGTCCACTGCAGCTCTCCAGATAGTCTTCGAAAGTCCAAAATCAACTGCTTTCCTACCCCAATGTTATAGAATGGAATAGAATAGAATAGAATAGAATAGAATAGAATAGAATAGAATAGAATCTGGAAGGGACCTTGGAAGTCTTCTAGTCCAGCCCCGTGCTCAAGCAGGAGAACCTAGACCATCTCAGACAGGTGATTGTCTAGTCTCTTCTTAAAAATTTCCAGTGATGGAACGCCCACGATTTCTGGGGGTAAGCTGTTCCACTGGTTGATTGTCCTCACTGTCGGGAAGTTTCTTCTTAATTCCAGGTTGATCAGTTTCCAACCATTGTTTCTCGTCCTTCCCTCTGGTGCTCTGGTGACCCCCTCTGCCTTGTGGCAGCCCCTCAGATACTGGAATACTGCTTGCTGTCATATCTCCCCTATTTGTTCTTTTCTTTAGACTAGCCAAACCCAAGTTCCATAGCCGTTTTTCGTATGTTTTGGTCTTCAGGCTTTTGATCATCTTAGTTGCTCTTCTCTGAATTTTTTCCAAACTCTCAACATCTTTTTTTGTGATATGGTGACCAAAATTGACTGCAGTATTTGAGGTATGGTCTTACTAGGGCTTTATACTTGGCATGTTCTTGTTTCTATGCCTCTGTTTATACAACCCAGGATTGTACACAACAAACAACTAGTATTCAGTCTTTAAACATGGATTAGATGATCTCCGTGGTCCCTTCCAACTCAAAGCTTTTATGAAATACCTAGCTATCATAAAGTACAGTTTATCAATCTCTATCTTGTCCTTCTTTAAAACTTTGTCCCCAAAGTAAAAGATTCCAATGTTTTAATGTTTTTAACATTTTCCCTGAAGGAAACTCTTACGGTAGATCATTTGCACTGCCATTTTAGTACATCTGTAGATGTACTTACAATCATTTGTTTAGTGACCTTTTGAAGTTACAATAATGGCACTGAAATAGTGACTTATTACTGGTTTTCACTTTTACAACTGTTACAGCATCCCCATGGTCATGTCATCAAAATTCAGGCACTTGGCAACTGGCATGCATTTATGATAGTTGCACAGTCCCAGGGTCATGTGATTAGCCTATGCAACTCTCTCAGCCAGCTTCTGGCAACCAAAGTTAATGAAGGAAGCCAGATTCATTTAACAACTGTATGATTCACTTAACAACTGCAGTGATTCATTTAACAGCTGTGGCAAAAAGGTCATAAAAAGTGGCTCAACTCACTTAACAACTGCCTTACTTAACAAAAATTTTGGGCTCAACTGTGGTCATAAGTCAAGGACTACCTGTAGTTCCAATAGATATTTTGAGAACATGTAATCCAAACTTTGGTGACTAGACTTCCAAAGTAATGGGAGATTACAGTTTCCCCAAGATTTTATGGTTAAGTGAAGCATATTTTCTTATCTGGCTTTAGTGGTCAGATCCAGCAATGGTCATGATCTAGCAAAGAAGCCAAAAAAGCAGCAACTATTCTGCTCAGAATCTGGCAATCTCTCTTAACTTCCATGGCTATCTTACCTTTGATCTGATTCTTAGCAGCTGTGTCTTGTTCCTTCTCAACCATACCCTGTTTTCTTTTATGGTTTCTGAGTCACATAGAGCAGCTAAACACACTCACATTTTGCAAGCCCTACAGGATATAAACGTGGCTCTGAGTGAAATTATGCACTGTTGCATAATTTACCCTGAAAACAGAAAGTGAGGCAGAAAAGATACGTAAAAGAGAAACAGAGACAGCTTATTAAAACCTTAGATTCCTGGGTAGAACTCTCCAGCACTGTTCTTCTTCGCCATTTTACTCCAGCTATGGAAACTCTCAAGTCACTTAGCAATATGATTCTGGAACAAAGACTATTGATCTCTACCCATGGACATCTTGCATCACTCTGTACTGTTGAATATTTAAAAATGTGAAGTTTGGTTGTAAATATATCAATATTTGACCTAAGGATTCTAAATTAGTAATCTGCAAAGAAAACAGAGGTTGTTAACACTTCCCAGTTGTTTCCTAAAAGAGGGTGGAGAGAAGCAAAAGGAAGAGAAGGAATTCCCTCCTCCCTCCCTCCCTCTCTCTCCCTCCCTCTCTCTCTCTCTCTCTCTCTCTCTCCACACACACACACACACACACACACACACAAATACTATACAAAATTAAATTGTTCACGATAAATCAATTATTTAGAAGACAGCCTAGGTGATCAGTAACTGGAGGGATGCACTGCGATTGATTTTGCACAATATGAA